ATTTTTAGAAGTGCAGAAGAAAGATGTGATCTGTAAACTAACCATCTCCACCGTCAACACACATGGGATCTCATATATTGCTCTCGTTCAGTTTTGTTTTCTATCAGCAACAGAGATGTCCACATTGAGTGTGGAGAAGACAGATCAAAACAATTATTCTCAGAAACTCTCCAAATCCAAGAAAGGCTGGCAGTCACAGTCCACAATGATTTCCTGAGTGTCCTTAGCATGTCATTTTCATTCACAAAAGGGTTCAAGGCTTTGACTCAGGCACAGGAATTCAGAAGCACTGTCCATGCACAGGTCAGGGTTTGAGTGTGAGAACACAATCTTCAAGTGGGATATTTTTTTCATATAATCCAGCTCTTTAGCATTTAAGAATCTATAGTTGGGAGGTACCGCCCAATTCCCTGTGCTGTATCCTAACATACACAATACCAAGAATCATTTCAATTGTTCTATCAGACTTCATGATTTCTGAGATGTGGACTCAGCTCTCAATATTCTCCCAAGTATCATTCCAGACATCATCTAATTCAATTCTGCAACACCTCAGATACAGAGTACTACTCTTGTTATCCTTGCTAAAACACGATGGTGAGTCAACCTTGATCTTTTAGAAATCAAAATAAGTCACTGTCGCTACATTGCTACACAGCCCTCCTACGCCAGTCCTCAGAAACAGAGGCTTTGCTGCTTTCATTTGGATCAATATATCATTGCATTCCTTTGGAAGGCAAAGCAGTAAAAAAACAAAACTAAACTAGTGTGTTTCCCCCTCAAACAGTAGATCTGCCAACCACTGCTTAGAAGCATTCACATAAAAGATTGAAACACAGGGTTAGTGTTGAGTTTTGTTTTCAGGTTCAGGATGGGGAGATTTCAAGGGAAAACTAATTCAGTCATCAGTATGTTTTGAGTCAGTGAACACGTTTCACAAACTTTGTTTGTTTTAAAGGCAATGAAAATGCTAAGTCTCCTCTGAAATCAATGGAAGGTTTCAGGTTCACATTTATAAGGATTATCAGTACTGTATGCAAACACTAACAAAATAGAATCAGAAGAGGTTCCTCAGCTAGGATGCTGAGCGGATCATTTAATTCTCTAATAGAAGTTAATATCTACATTCCAGTCTCGAGGTATTCTATCCTCTGGTTCACTAGGACATTACCAAAGGCAAGACACACAAGAATGTCTAATGACTAATGTGAAATCCGCTAGACGCTTCCCCTGAAAGCGGAAGTTGACCCCTGCAGTTGTCCAGAGAACTGTCTAGAATAGTTCCTGCTGTTGACAAGGGAAGGACATTTTCAAATTATTTCCCTTAAAATAAAACTTTCTGTGGACTTTAGGCCATGGAGACCAAAAGCCACGAGGGATTTATGATAGGTGATGTGAACATTTTAATAAAATATGTAATAACACTGAAAAATTGTGTCTTTAGTAATCTATGTACTATTAGTAACAATCCATGCAGAGTGCCGTGCATTTATAAATATTTGGTCATAAAAATATATGACTGCAATTATGAAATTTACAGTCAACTTATAAAAATACGTGTAGTACTGAATCGTAGTAGTTAACCCTTATCACTGCCCACGAGTCTAGAAGGATTAGCTGAATCCAGGAAAGTGTATGGATAATTACAGAATGGACAAAGCTCTCACATTTGAGTCCAACAGACAAAAATGGCCATGAGAGCATCAGAGGGGCTTCTCAGACTGCAACTCTTCCTTTCCCACCACAAGGTAAAACCTATGAATGAATACATTTTGTTTGGAATAAATAGGGATGAATGGGAGAGAGGAGCTCACACGACAGAGGAGGAGAATGTTACCATAGAATATTCATGTATGGCCTTCGAAGCGGTACAGAGTCACTGTGAGAATTCTCATCCAGTGGAGACTTTCATTAAAAGGAGCTCAGCATGGTGTAAGTCAGCCTATGATTGCCTTTAATCATCAAAGCTAGAAATCTACCTGTCAGCCAAATCTTTTTCTGTAATATAGATGTGCCTCTCTTTGAAACTTTAAGAATGTCATGAACCTGGACAGTTGAGATCACACTGTACACCCTATTCCCACTTTAAGTTCCAATCGGGGAGGGGACATAAATTCACATTTTAGTTCAAATACAAAAAAAGGCATGGTTTTTTGCAAACTATAAAAAAATCTCTCACTTTAAGGGAAAAACACTTTCCCGCTTAAAAAAAAAAATCCCACAACGCTGAGATATTTCCCATAGATTTCTTCTCCTTTAGGTTTGATTAGTAATTTGTTGATAGTAGACAGGTTCCTAATTTGAACACCATCTGTAGTTCACAAGTGGGGGAAAAAACCCCAAACAAACCAATAAAAGGAATCTTGAAAAGCTAGAGGGAGATACAGACAAGCCAGCAAACACTGCTGAGGTTGGGGACCACCTGTAAACCATGATCTCATAGTTTAGGGTACCTACTGGCACTCAGCAGATGGGATTCCTGGAAATATCTGTTTCACAGTGAAGTTGGGAGGTCAAATAATGCTCAGTTAGACTCTTCGGGGCTTAAGTAACTTCCTAGGACTTGATTAAGGCATCTGGGGGGGTGTATTAACTCTTCCAGAACAAAGAGTTCCTTTTCAGTAAGTTATTGCTACAGATCACTAAAGAGTACCATGGTGTTCTGGAAAAGATAACATCCCTTCCAAAATGCCACCTCTCTAGTCAGTTGAACAGTGAGAAAGTATTATTTATCTTCGATACTTTGATCTGTGAAGATACCTAAAAAAGAAGACTCTTGCCACCCAAATAGAGACAATCTGGACACAGACATGAACTGCTCTGCAGGTTTGGCAGGATAGGCCACTGTCCCATCTGCATTTGGTGGTGGGTTTCTCATAAATCAGACTGCCCATTCCTTACATCTAGAATGGCTTACGATAACCAAGAAGAAGAAGAAAACACCCAAACTGACAGACTTTTAAAAAACAGCTGAGTGAATGGGATGTGCCTGCCGCAGAAAGAAATGTAGAACTTTGAAGATGAGTACCCTTCCATCTATTGAAAGAGGTACCAAAAAAAAATGCACAAATGATAGGTAGTCCATGAAAGAGGAACACCTTCCAACTCCAAAACCCAAAACCCCAATTCAGAAACTTCCACCTCAAATACAAGATCATGACCTGGAGGTCCACTAGTCCATCCTAACAGAGCAGTTCATGAGGTAAAAGTTAGGCTTCTCTGGACACAGACTTCACAAACACAGTGAGAACAATAGATCTATGGCTATGGGTAATTGCTTTCCACTCTCACATCTCTTGATGTTGTGCCCAGTGTATGCAACTCTGAAGATATGGATCATTTCTACTAGAAAGTCAACAACTTGAAGGTAGGACAAAACAAACTCCATTCAATAAATAAAGTTTTTACTCGAAGGTTTTGCCTTCTGGAATATGTTCCCTTTTCCTTTCATGTTCTTGTAAACTCTTTGTTGGTAAAGGTATATTTAAAATGTTTGTTAAGCCTATCGACTTCTCCAAAGACTGTATAATAAGGTTGGAAAGGTTTAGTATCTCCTTTTAGAACTTCTCTGAGTCCATGAGCTTTGTTTTAGGTAATTCAATTAAAATGTACAACCAAAACTGGTGGGGAAAGCAGCTTTCTCCAGGTAAAAGAACTTAATAAGCAGATTTTATAATCACTGGACACTTGTTCTGTCCTACCTGGAAATAAATTATGTTACTTCTTGGCATGGGAAAAGGCATTTCCTAGTGTTTTTCTCCAACAACAACCTTAGCCTTAATCCACACAAGGACCCAGCAGACTGAGTCTGTCTGCTTGGGAGTAGTTTTATACATTTAACCCAAAGGAAACAGTTAGCTCAGTACCCCTTTTCAAAGGAAGAATTCAGCAGCAGTTACAGTGAACACGCCATCTATAGGCAGCTTTGGGCACCTAGAGTTTACTTTCTAAGTGACGAGCACAACGATATTACAAGAAGCTACAAAGTGATATTGCAGCAGTTATGGTGGCACTGTAGTGACCATGTCCTGGGTACATGTTTCTAACATCCGTGCAAGGAGCACACTAGACTTAAGAACACTTTCTTTAGGAGAAACTGATGGTGCCTCATGAGTGGTGATGCCCACTTTACTCTATGACAAGAGTCCCAGCTATGTTTCTTTGCTTCTGTGTTAATTATATTTTATAGCAGTACATTTTCACCATCTAAAATAAGAAATCTAATTACGGAATACCCCAACACACACACACACACACACACACACACACACACACACACACTTTCTCTCTCTCACACACACAAACACATACACTTGTATACACTTACAGATAATGTGTGTAAAGTGCTCATTTGAAGGTGTGTGAGCTCTTTACAAGCAGCCACATCAGCCCCTCCAAATACAGAGAATGATTACAGGCCAATGGAAAGCCATATTAACTATGTAGCTTTAACAGGAGACTTTAAACTTCACCCATATTGTAAGTACTTCAAATGCAAAGTCATCCCAGGCTAGAATCCTAATGACTGGCAATGTGATATGTGGAATCCAATGTGGCATCTCTGTGTGCTTTGATTATCACACAACTGAGGGCCACCTTGCTGCTGCAGAGACCCTGGGGTTAGTTGTGCATGGCAGTTGATGAGAGTGTGTATTTGGCTAAAGCTGATTTGATTTTCTAGGTCGAGGCCAGCCTGTCTGCAAATGGGCACCCTCTTGCAAATAAACATAAATGAACACGAGAGTCTAAGCATATGTATATATGGTATATATATATATATACATATATATATGTACACACACAATGGATCGGGAAGTCCTTTGGTTTAGACAGGATTAAATATGTACTTCCCAAATGCATAGGTGTCCTTTAACCAACCTGTTCAAAAAGCAAACACAGACTGTGACATGGCAATTTGGACATTTCCTAAATTGCTTTCCCTAATTGGAGACCACCTTTGCTCTCTTCTCTAACCCTTTTCTAAGCTTTTTTTTTTTTTTTTTAAATAAAAGCAGTTGATTCTTCTGCCATTCCTTGGAAGAGCTCTAAGATCGCGTTCACAGATTTATCTTTCACGGAGAACAAGGTTGTAAAGAACATTCCCCCTGCTGGATTCTCTCTCCCGCCCCATGAGGCAGACACTACATGTCATGGGGGTGCTGTCATCTGACTTGCCTTGTTACCCCTGGCCAGCCCAGGCAGCCGAGGTCTGAGCTCCTCCTCCTGCATCATGTGCAATACTGGAAAATAAAAATAATCCGTTGGACTCTGCCCTCAGACTGTGGTGACATGATCGGGGTTCTCTTGAATTTCTATGCATTCAACTTCTTCCCTCTCCTTTCGTTTGGCACGTTTCTTTTTCTTGTGGTGCTTTTTGGAAGGAGGAAAAAAGGTTAGGAACACAGGTAAAATAACAAAACAGTGCAGAAGTGTGCAACCCCCGGTGAGCAGCAAGCATTTGAACAGTGTGAAGGTCAGGTTTGAAGGCACAAAGAGGAGGGGGACCAACCCAATAAGAAAAGAAGTAATATTTTGCAAAATGGCTGTTCCATGCTCTTGCAGTGAGCTTTTTATACATTGTGTTCGCGTGTGCTCAGTGGCTAACACAAATGTGTAAAGCAGGGGTGCACAGTGGTCAATGGCGAAGTTTAAAGTGTAGATAAGGCACAAGATAGAGACGCAATCCATGTCCACGTTCCACAATGTCATTAAACCCAGAACGCCCAGTTCAATTGAGGTGACGCTAAGAATGAGCCAGAAGTTCCCCAAAGGGTGGATCACTAGGAAAAAAGTCAGGATCAACAGCAGCAGCACACTGAATCCTGCAATGAGCACAGGCACGGTGACAGACAGGCTGTAGTGGTCCATGAACACAAAGGAGGGGTTGAACACAATGAACCGGATGCTCTTTGAAAGTGACAGGGGCCTCAGCTTTTCCAGCACTTCGATGACTTCCTTCTGCTTGTCTCTGCTGGTCCTGGCCACCAGGTACAAGCGGGAAGCAATGATACTGTTTTCATCCCCCGCCTTGGAGAAGATGATATCGTTTCGAAAGTGCTGGAACTCTGGCTTTTTTAAAAAGGAGCTTTGTAGGACGCTGATGAAGTCACTCTTGTTGCTGGCACTGATGTTACTGGCTTTCAGATACTGGTAGTACTGGTCGACCCAGGACACAGTAGTAAAGCCACTGCAGAGCTTCCGGAGGTCCTCTTGGACGCTGCTGTTCCAGTACTCGAGGGGCTCGTAGACATAGAACCCTATCACAGGGCTGTAGTTGCTGAAGTATTTCTGCTGAACCGTGGCATAGGAAACACTCGGGGAATCACTGGCCAGGAGGTTGATGATGTTGGCTCCATCACTGATCTGCAAACACCCCATGAAGGAGAAGGAGGCATAAATGAGATAGAGGATGACGACAAATGGCTTCACGTAGATGTTAGTGACCCACTCATTGTAGTGCTCTCGGAGGAAGTGCTGGATGAAATGGTGCTGGTAGGGATCCGTCTCATGGTGGGACGTCTGCTGGTGTCCATCATTCATCACCATCTGGAACCACGCGGGCTTGCGGTCCAGGTACTCTGCAGAGGGGATCTTGCAGCAGAAAATGCTGTGATAGCGGTTTTGTTCTAGTTGGCCAGCGAAGACCAGGCAGGAGCCAAAGAAGGAGAAAATGTAGAAGTAGTTCAACAGGATAGACACACACATGTTCTGGCAGAAGACTTTCACAGCCTCTATGTTTGTGAAAGGACTTGCGCCCATCCCAAAGGTGATGAAGTACAGGGAGCTGGTCATAGTGTAGGTAACCATCACATCAGAGTAGGCATCTGCCACCCTGTCTTTAAAGGGCAAATTCTCTTTAGTTCTCCTCCATCCAGACAGAAGCTCAAACACACCTTTCGTCCCATGTCCTGATGTTAAAAAAAGAAGAAGAAAAAGAAGAGTTGTCATTATTTTCTCCTATGGTTCAGGTGAATTCCTTACAGATTATCTAGGCTAGCAGCACATAGTCTGATCTTCAAAGTGCTAGGATCCGCTCATCAGCATCCCCAAATTTGAGTTACACACAGGATATATTTGGTCCCTGTTTCCACCTTAGCACACATTTATTGATATTCTGAGCAAAATGAAACATTGGTTGTCTGTTCTATTAGCCTGACAAGTTGTAGACATGGCATTCCAGTCACATGCCTCTCACCTACACACACATTGTCTTCCTAGATGAGTCACAGGTTCCAGGAGTAGGGCTGTTATGTGTACAACGTCAGCATCAGTTCCACACTGAGTCAACTGATTCACTGACTCTTCCTCTCTGGCCTTCTCTTCCAGCTGCTTTCTGTGCCAACGTAGGGAAATTATAAGATGGTTTTAAACATGCAAAGTGGATTCAAGTTGATTCTACAGTGCTGACAACCTGCCTGGTGGCCAAATGGGTCACAAACCAATGCATACCCAACAGGTAGATTAATTGACAGTCAATGTAGGCCCACCAAAGGTCCTCCAGGTCACACAAAAGACAAGGAAAGATCTTCAGGGTGAGAGGTCACAGCAAAAATTTCCTCCAGGTTCCTAAAAGAACTTTTGTTCGAGAGGAGCCACACTGACTGCCTCTACAACTTGCTTTACACGGGTGAAGAATGCTTCTTTTTAACCAACTTCTGTGCACATTTTGATATGAGTAAATAGGGAAAAGGTTTATTCAACAAATATTACTCGCAAAGTAATTATGTGGCAGACTGCTAGCTTCTGAGCTATTATTTTTAGGAATCTGGCAGCACTTACGATACCACTGCTCTATTGGCAATAGTAACTGGGAAAGCAAAGATGTTATACCAGATCTGTAATTTTCCATTTTCTAAACTTCCCTGAATTGATTCCGTCAATCACCATCCTCAATGCATCAACTGGTAGCTTTCTGAGTGAGTAGAAATCTTGCAGTCCTAAACATGAATCTTTTCTGTAAATGGCTCTAAGGTGTGTCTGGGCTGTCCTCCAAGGAAACCATTAGACAGTAATTCAGCTTAAAAGCACAAAATGACTCAATTCACAAAAACCTGGAAAATGAACCATAGGTGGTGTCTAAATATTGTACTTAGGTGTTACGTACTCAATTCACTTGGTAGTGCTTTAAAGAAAATATTATGATAGCTAGTGTCTTCTCATGGTCCTCCTGAACTTGTCCTGCTTGGAATCTTTGCTAATTGCCTGACACAATTCCTTTCCCTTTTCCTTACTTTAAGATAGCAGTAAAAACTTGATTTCCCAGGCTGCTTTTCAACCAGGGATATTTCACCTGACACATTTCTAGACAATGCAATGTAACTAGAAGTAATCTAAGGATGCTTATTAGAAAACCAGAAAGCATTTTTTTCCTAAATGATATCTTAGTGTCCCCAGTAAGAGTTCCAGCATTCCTTTCTTTGGAATTCTTCCTTCAAGAAAACAAAATCTCCACTTGGCTAAATAGCTCAACCTATTTCTAAGTAACGATATTTTGTTGATGAGTTGACATTTATCAAAATCTCTTTTATGAGGATCTAAGGCATCTGGCTTCATAGTTTGATTGTAGCATTCATAGATTTAAATGTATGTAATTCTAATCTTTCATTTTAAAAACTCCTTAGCCAATCCTTTGAGAATTGTTATTATTAACTGTTAGTGAAAAGGAATGTAGATATTGGAGTTCATTTTACCTCAAATATAAAGCTTACTTATTCTCCAGAAATTTCTGCCTGGGTTTCTAAGTAGGAAAGATAAAATTATACTAACAAGTAAAAAGAATTGCAAACTATGGTTGAGTGAAAAGCAAATGTTTTCTATTCTTTTTTTATGAGGCGATGATCTATTCCTTCTTGCATTAAATTATGAATTCAATATATGCATACTGAAGTGAGTCTAATGATTCTTAACAAACCATATTAATTGCTCATTCCTATCTTCGGCAGGACTCCTTGGCAAAACAGAATACTTATCCCTTATCCCTTGATAAAAATAAAATATCAATGGTAAGGTAGTTCTTTAATTAGGGCATCCCTCTTTAGAAATGAAAGCTCTTGTTATCTTTGTCGTCACCAAGGGGAAGGCCACATGTTGCTCTAAATTTGGCTTACCTTTTCTAAAGGTCATTTAGTGGGAGCCTAGGGACACTGGCATATAGGCCAGATGTTTGCTCTGTGCAGGACAGATGTCTGTACATCTGAGAAAACAAAGCCAAATGGTTTTAAATTTCATTTGACAGAGACTGGAAATATAATCTCCAAGCACGGCATGTTTTGTCTCATTTTTTCTGATATTGTTTTATTCCTTATTTTTCTTATTCCTAATCATTCCATCCTTATTTTGAAAGTCCTACACTAAGTGAAATACTACACTCAAGCCAAGACACTGGTGTCTACCCCAAAAACATGGTGGCACCATTTCAGATGTGTATGCAAAGATCAAATATAAGAGTTATTTGTCCAAGTGCACAGTGACCTGGATTGCAAATCTTACCTCCTGGTTCCTCAGTCCTGACTGTTCTTTTCCCACCAAAACCTTAGTCTTCATCTAAGTCCATGGCTTATTTTAGGAAGAACTCCATTCAAGATTGTGACTAGTTTAGAGAGTAATATAGATAATTGTGATTATCTTTCTCACAGCAGAGCTTAACTTGCTGGTACTGGGAGATAAACTATTGTCCAAATACATACTTTATTCAATGCTTCAAAATTTTGTTCCTGATTTCCATGTACTATATTAGTATATATTTTCAAAATATATTGGAACAATCCGGTCACCCACTTGGGGATTGCTTGATAAATGAAAGTTCCTTTGCCAAAGTTTGAATGGAGACAAAAGAAAGGACTTCGAGGGGCCAGAAAAGAGTTGGAAAGAGGAGGAATTGTGAAGAAAATTGAGGGAGGAAGATGGAAAGAAATAATAGAATGTGTGTGAGAAATAATAGACCTATGTGCGAGTTGACTATTTCAAAAGTCTAGAGGGATGTTACAGGGACAACTCTTTCTAGGTGGAAGCCTTATCAATGACAAGGAAAGTTTAAACAGCAGCTTGCCAACATTCTGTATTTAACAGTGATTTAAAGAGCTCTGCTGTGTTCAATCGAGAAATTCACAAATGAAGGCCATGGGAAGAGAGTTCTGAGTGAGATGGGTAACGCTTAGTTTTAATAGCTTTAGTTCCATCGGGTTCTCAAGGAATCATCCTCCAAGGAAAACAAAGGTGGGTCTTCTCTGAGAACCGGTTCTGACCCACCCGAATCAACACTCCTGAAAGCTTTTCCTCTCCCTCAGTAAATCTCCACCTGTGAGTGCACTCACACTGCTGCAGGAAAACTCAGGGGTCATGGAGAAGCCGACAGTGTCTTTATTCAGAACAACAGCATTGCCTAATAAATGTACATTTTTTTCTTTTTTTGGTACCGGGCAGTGAACTTGGGTCCTTGCGCTTGCAAGGCAGGCCACCGAACCGCTGAGCTAAATCCCCGGCCCTGTACTTTAATTTTTAACTGGTGTCATTTTTATCTCAAAATCAACCTCTCCAAAACCCATGAGTCCAAAGAAAATAGTTTCAGTAAGGATCAGCTCTGATTGGAACTAATTATAACTGATTCAAGCAGTACTCCCTGCTGGGTTTTTCTTTGATATGTTGGTTTAATAAGCATCCTCTGTGGATTCCAGGTCTTTTCCATCTGTGGAATTGGGAACTATTTCCCTTGGGAGGGCATTCTGTGAGCCTCCCTTCTGTCTTGAACACCTGACGCTCTGAGCAGGACGTGAGACTCTGACACCTGCATTAGAGACCACAGACGAGGCTAGACCGTGGCCCGGTCTGAAGAAAGCTTCCTGCTTTCCCTTAGCAGCTATTTCTGCTTCAGCTAGCTGTTCTCTCGATGATGACGTTTGTGGAGGTCACGCTTAGGCATGCTTAGGCTCAGGTGGAAAGAGCTTTTTGACTTTGTGTTAGGCCTTGGGGCTGTGTGACATCCTTCTACCAACCATATAAAGGAATAATACATGGAAAAATAAAATTTTAGTCAATTAATCTCATCTTGTGTTATCTTTTTCACTTGTTTGTATTACAAGGGTCATTTGTTCATTCTTCTTTTCTATAGTTGTCTGATTCTTGCTTTGCATGGTCTCAAGCTTAATCCCACCATAGAGCACCATCACGCTGCTAGTGTCTGCCCTCCTCTTCCCATGCTCCAGCCTAGGAGCGGCTCAAGCCTGTCTTCGGTGCCTGTACTCTTCATGGTACCAATTACTGCACCCAGCTGGAACTCTTCAGCCCCTTCTAGTCTTTTTTATTTTTGTGGCCTTTTTGGTACCTTAATAGATGCTTGGGAAACTGAATTAGCCATGTCAACACCTATTGTAATAATTGTGGCAATATTACTGTAACAATATCAATAATTAAAATACAATAGATCATTTAATATAGTTAGATTTTAGGCACACAATTTATGTCATTCACTGCACATATATTATATAATTTATATATTTTAAATAAATAAGAAATATGGGCAACCACTGTGGAAATCAATACAGAGATACCTCAGAGAACTAGGATTAGCATTTCCATTTGACCCAGCCATCTGTCTGCTGAGGATCCTTCCAAAAGAATTAAAAGAATCATACCATAGTGATATATGTGCACCCATGTTTATAGGTGCACAGTTTGTAATAGCTAAAATTTGGAAACAGCCCAATTGCCCATCAGTTGGAGAGTGGTTAAGAAGATGTGGTTTTTCTATAAAATGGAGTACTACTAAGCCATAAAGAATGAGAAACTAGAGACATTATAGCTAAATGGATGCATATTGAGGCTATGCTCTTAAGTAAAATAAATAAGACACACATATGTAAATACCAGATAGTTTCTCTGATGTGAAAAACTAAAAGCGTAAATAAGATCT